AAAAAAAAAAAAAAGAAAAGAAAGAAATATTCGAACGATTTGTGATAAGAAAAAACAACTCGAATCGAGGCGATGACGATTTCGATGCAAATACGCGTGAGATTAAAATACGAATTTTTTCGTTACGTTAAATATTAGGGGAAAAATAGAAGGAGGAATAAGAAAGAGAGAGAGAGAGAGAGAGCGAGAGAGAGAGAATGAAATGTTTCGGTGCTCGCAGCAGCATTAGCTCGCAAACCGAGCGAGACGTTATTTAAAATACTATTATGAAACTCTTACTTGGCAACGTTGGACGCGGCGAAGTTTGGAATCCGGGCATATCTAATATGGAGTCTATAATGCCTATTAAAGGCCTCTTTCGCGGCTTCGATTTCCACATTCCATCTTCAAACTGATCCTCGTCCCACAGCTCCCTAGGCCGGCCAGCTAAGTTTCCAGGCAACTTGTTTTCCGTGGATAAGTGGTTTGCGCGCAGCACTTGTTTCTGTCTCACCCCTGGTATTACGTTTTCTTTCACCATTAATTGGTGCATAAATTTCCTCTGCCATCTAGTATGCAGAGAGTCCACCTGTGCCGTTTGTCAGGGTTTAGTGTGGTTTAAACGACACTTGACAAAGAGGATATTTTTTTTTTTCTCTCTCTCTTTTCTTTTATCAAATAGCGCTTGGAAAAATGAATATCTGTGGAATTTTACGGATCTTTTTTCTTTAATCCAATTTCTGAAATTATTGAAATTTTCTAGGTGTTCGAAAGTTATCTATATAAAAGGTAGAAATCGTGATTCTGATCTAGAGATTATTTTTGATGACAAGATATATTGTATTTTATAGCAACAAAGTTATCTTGAAAAATTGATCATCTTCTATTGAGAATATATATTAACAACGTGATACAACGTCTTTATAAACAGACGATTTTAATTAAGAATCGATCTATCGGCGAGATAAATACGATTAATCGATCAAGTATTGAAACACGAACGATATATCGATATATATATCGCGACGATTCGAAGATTTCGTTTGTAAAACGCGTTAGAAAAATTTCACAAAAAAAAAAAAAAAAAATAGAAAAAAGGAGAAGAAAAAAACTTTTGCAAAATCGATTTTCTTCGACGAATCTCTCCAGAGGATATCCTCCCTAGAGAATTCTGTCCTTCCTCCGACATTTTCTTCCCACTTTTCGTTTTCAAAAACGAAAGCAGCGAGGATACGCTGTGATATTATCTCTGTGAATCTCGATCGTTGCGCGCCAGTTAGCGAGACTGCACACCGGCTAAATCGTTTATAATAATAATAATAATGATAAAAAAGCGAGGCGTGGTGAACTGACAGACTGGTTTACGAGAGATGGGGAGGAAAAGAGAGAAGAAGAGAATAGATTGACAGGTCGATGTCACGGTACAATGTACATTCGATAGCAGCATCGAAGTAGCGTTTCACGCAGGAAATTACGTTCATCTAGATCGATCGATCGATAATTTCGTTCTTTTTTTGTTCCCTTCTCGAAATTTCCGATCGAATTTTTCACCTTCTTCCTTTTCCAAAGAGTTTCGAATATTTCGGATGCAGCAAAGAAGCGATATTATTGCACTCGTTTTCTCTTTCATCGAATAATAATTAAAAAGTCATAAGTTATAAAAATTTAATAGATATCGAGTTTTAACCTAATCTAACCTAATCTAACCTAGCCTAACCTAGCCTAGCCTAGCCTAGCCTAGCCTAACCTGGATAGGTTAATTCCTAATTACTGGAGTATTCTTATTTTTAATAATTATTATGTACTTTAGATCAATTAATATAATTAAAAATGATGAATTTTCAATAATCCAAATAATGTATTTTTTAAAAATTGGAATTTTTCCTTTTCACTACTGAATAATTTTTCATATGAGATAATAAATTGAAAATTTAACAAATTTTTTTAATATCAACATCAATTAAATTTATCCCAATTTATATAATTATTGTTATATATTATATTAATTATTAACCTAACTTAACCTAACCTAACCTAACCTAACCTAACCTAACCTAGGCTAGCCTAGCATAGCCTAGCCTAGCCTAGCCTAACCTAACCTAACCTAACCTAACTTAACCTAACCTAACCTAACCTAACCTAACCTAACCTAACCTAGGCTAGCCTAGCTTAGCCTAGCCTAACCTAATCTAACCTAACCTAACCTAACCTAACCTAATCTAACCTAACTTAGACTAGCCTAACCTAACCTAACCTAGCCTAACCTAACCTAACCTAGCCTAGCCTAACCTAACCTAACCTAGCCTAATCTAACCTAACCTAACTTAGACTAGCCTAACTAATCTAGCCTAACCTAGCCTAGCCTAAAATAATAATAACCGCCTGAAAGTAAAAAATAAAATACATACAACGCGTGAAAATCGAAAGGAGGGAAGCTTTTGTAAAATTTCTTCGAGAGAAAAATCTCTAAGAATAAAAATCCCCTAGAGGATTTTGAGGATTTAGCAAGCGATTATCGCTGTGAATCCGATCGAATCCGAGGAATAGAATAATAATATAATTCTTCGAATCTTTGAGACGCGACAAGTCTCAAAAGATTGAGGAGAGTATTCTTCTCGATGAAAATTGAAACAATTGCGCAATCGAACGAAGGAGGAAACTTTCAACTTTCGAGACGACGGCTGTTGAATTTTACACACAGCCAACTCTGGTCGCCTCTTTATCAAATATCCCCGATAAATATTCATTCCACGTCACTTGAAATTTCCACAACACGTGGAAATGCTTATAGATTTTACTCCACTTCGAGGAGGATATCTCGAGTACACAGTATATAAGGAAAACTCGTCTCTTTCGCCTTTTTCCCCTTTTCCTTCCCTCCTTTTTTTGTTCCCGCGAAAACTCCAACTCCACGTTTCCCTCGGCTGAAACTCTGAAAACAGTAATTTCCACGCGGCTCGCCGTGATTTCGATCTTATCTCTGCCGATTATCGGAGATTACGTGCCCCCGTCGATAAACACGAACCGAGGGATACCTGTGGCGCCCACATCCGCGCCGCTCTTTATGCTAATTTAGACGATTCTCGCGACGAGGCGAGCGTTGCCGCCGACCACCGTTCGCGGAATCGAAACGCGATTCTACGAAAAAAGAAAAGAAAAAGAAAAAGAAAAAAAAGGAAGAAATAGGTTTAATACGATCGTTCTTATGCGTCGATAGATTATATCGCTTTTTCCATATTGCGTATGCAATATGGCGAACGCGTCATAACTAACGTTCAATCTCACACGTTGAAAGTCGTATTTATAGGATTTGGTCCATGTGTATAAAGGTACAAGGTGATATCAAGTATGTACATTTTTTATTTTTCGTTTGTACGAGTTTTTCTTTTTTTTTAAGATTTTTCCAATTTTTTGAACATTCATTTTCAGGTGTATGCAATATGGCGAACGCGTCATAACAAACGTTCAATCTCACACGTTGAAAGTCGTATTTATAGGATTTGATCCGTGTGCACAAAGGCACAAGGTGATATCAAGCATGTACATTTTTTATTTTTCATTTGTACGAGTTTTTCTTTTTTTCTCGAGATTTTTCCAATTTTTTGAACATTCGTTTTCAGGTGTATGCAATATGGCGAACGCGTCACAATTACATTGCTCTCATACGTGAAAATTCGCCTCGAATTTATAGAAATTAATTCATAAAATAGTTTAAACATATATATTTTATTTTTCATTTGTAAAATTTTTTTTTTAATTATCTCAAGATTTTTTTAATTTTTTGAACATTCGTTTCCAGGTGTATGCAATATGGCGAACACGTCATAACAAACGTTCAATCTCACACGTTGAAAGTCGTATTTATAGGATTTAATCCGTGTGCATAAAGGTGATATCAAGTATATACATTTTTTATTTTTCGTTTGTACGTGTTTTTCTTTTTTTCTCGAGATTTTTCAAATTTTTTGAACATTCATTTTCAGGTGTATGCAATATGGCGAACACGTCATAACAAACGTTCAATCTCACACGTTGAAAGTCGTATTTATAGGATTTGATCCGTGTGCACAAAGGCACAAGGTGATATCAAGTATGTACATATTTTATTTTTCATTTGTAAAATTTTTTTTTTAGTTATCTCAAGATTTTTTTAATTTTTTGAACATTCGTTTCCAGGTGTATGCAATATGGCGAACACGTCACAATTACATTGCTCTCATACGTGAAAGTTCGTTACACCTCGAATTTATAGAAATTAATTCATAAAATAGTTTAAACATATATATTTTATTTTTCATTTGTAAAATTTTTTTTTTAATTATCTCAAGATTTTTTTAATTTTTTGAACATTCGTTTCCAGGTGTATGCAATATGGCGAACACGTCATAACAAACGTTCAATCTCACACGTTGAAAGTCGTATTTATAGGATTTAATCCGTGTGCATAAAGGTGATATCAAGTATATACATTTTTTATTTTTCGTTTGTACGTGTTTTTCTTTTTTTCTCGAGATTTTTCAAATTTTTTGAACATTCATTTTCAGGTGTATGCAATATGGCGAACGCGTCACAATTACGTTGCTCTCATACGTGAAAATTCCTTACAATTTATAGAAATTATAGAAATTTATAGAATTTATAGAAATTAATTCATAAAATAGTTTAAGCATACATATTTTATTTTTCATTTGTAAAATTTTTTTTTTAGTTATCTCAAGATTTTTTTAATTTTTTGAACATTCGTTTCCAGGTGTATGCAATATGGCGAACGCATCACAATTACGTTATTCTCATACATGAAAGTTCGTTAATTTATAGAAAATTAATTCGAATAGTTAAAACATATATTTCTTATTTTTCGTTTGTATAACTTTTTTTTTTTAAATTTTTTGCTTTTTCCATGTGTGTGTAATATGGCAGTTTAAAGGATTAATTCGAATAATTATGGCACAAGGTAATCCAAATATACTATTTATATTTCGTTCGTATGATTTTTCTTAGTTATCTAAGTAAAGATTTTTCAAATTTTTTTCCCTTTTCCACATGTATGTTACATGGCAAATAAATAAGAATACGTCAAACTTATAGAAATAATTTGTGCAACTTTTTTTTTAGTTATCTAAAAATTTTTTTAATTTTTTGATTTTTCTACGTGTATGTAATATTGCAGTTTGTAGAATTAATTCGAGGAATTATGGCACAAGATAATCCAAGTATATTTTTTATATTTCGTTCTTATGATTTTTCTTAGTTATCTCAAGATTTTTTTAATTTTTTGATTTTTCTATGTGTATGTAATATTGCAGTTCGTAGGATTAATTCGAGTAATTATGATATAAAGTAATTCAAGTATACTTTTTATATTTCGTTCGTATGATTTTTCTTAGTTATCTCAAGATTTTTTTAATTTTTTCCCCTTTTCCACGTAATATGGTAATTTAAAGGATTAATCCGAGTAATTATGGCACAAGATATTTTTTGTTCGTATGATTTTTTCTTTTTTAGTTATCTCAAGATTTTCCAATTTTTTTTTTTTTTTTTTTTTGCCTTTTCCACGTATATGTAACATGACAAACGCATCAGAATACATCAAATTTATAGAAATAATTTATTTCTATAAATTTATTATTATTTAATATTATTAATATTTTTTTGCAATTTTTTTTTTTAGTTAGAGATATTTCCAATTACATACACATAGATGTATGAATAAATTGGATATATATAGAATCGATTTCTTCGAGTAATCGACGAGAAAAGGAACAATCGATTTTTCAAACCGAATGATAAATAAAATTATAAAATAAATTTTTATCGAAAAGTGAAATGACGTTCGGTGAGATTGCAATGATATTTCGTCTGTATTAAAATTCGTCTATTAAAATTAAATAATATGGCGGCTTTTTATATCCAGTTAGAGAGACTTGTTTAATTAATTTGATATTCCACGATAAGAGATACTTAAGTTTAATTTATGTATTGTTGTTTTAATAATTTAAATAAATTTATGATTAAAAATATTTATTATAATAATAATTCAAATCAAAATATAGTATATTTAATGAGTTTCAATGAGTTTCAATAAATTAAATAATTTTGAATAATTTATTTTAATATAAATTTGAAAGAGAATTTAAAAGTAGATTATTGTAATTTCTTTAATTGAAGATAGTTTTAAAAAGTGTACAAATCGCCCGTCAATTTCATTTTAAAGTTGAAATAAGTCGTAACATGGTAAAAGTACTGGAAATTGTTTTTAGATTTAAGATTTTAATTTAATAAAAATATTTCTTTTACATTGAAAAGATTAAAAGTTGTTTTTAAAATTTTAAAATTAATATAGTAAAATTTATTATTATATATTGAGATATTTATCGATTTATTAATTTTTAAAAGTTTATAAAAAATATATGTTTTATTAAAGATTTGCGAATAAATTTAACATATTTAATAAGTTAAAAGTAATGTGAGTGAATAGGATTCAATTTCACAAAGAAAGAAATCTCACCCCATATAGAGATTCCATTCCATCCAAGATTTTAAAATTCCAATTTCATTCTATACCAAGCTATAACAAATATAATTTCGAAACCATTTTCTTTTTATCGAACAGGTTACGTAAACATCCCCTCACCTGTTTGAACACATCGATCTCGTCCCTCTGCAATCGATCCTCGTTCCTTTTCTTCAAAAGATAATTAGCAGCTTCCGAGTTGTAGTTAAACTTTATGAATCTGTCCTCGTAATAAGTTTTCTTAGGCGCTTTGAGCGTGTACTTTTTAACGATTTGTTGAACAGATTTCCCAATCGTTACTTGACAATTGTCAACCACCACCGGTTTTTCACTATCTTTATCCTGAAAGAAAAAAATAAATAAACAAACAAACGAATAAAAAGAGATTAAAAATATTGAAACTGTGCCTGTGTCAAGATTTAATTAGTTAAAAAAAAAAAGAAAAATATTCGAAAAATATTCGAATCTGCTTTTAAATGCACGGACGATAATATTCGATTTTATTATTTCTTCACCCCGGATCCGAAGAGAGGAGAGAAGGGGAGGGCGGAAAGTAGACGAGAGATTTCATTGATTATCGAGGAGGATAATGTTCGTGGGACAAGTTTGGCAAGATAATTTGGCGCTATGGCAGGCATTATGCGTTTAGAGGAGGAGAGAGATACAATATTTATACAGACCGGTATCTGTACCTCCAACGAACATCTGGTTTCGACACGAGCGACAGATAGAGGACTGGCTCTTGAACCTGATCTCGCGCGAACAGGTTTAAATTTCTTACTCTTAACGCTTGTAAACGACTGATCGTATTAGTCCACGATTTTTATACGTCGATCGATTCGAAATACAGACGTGAATGAAGTGTCTGAACGAGATGGAATGGATTCAATGAATTTCTCTTTTGCGGAGGCAATCGATTATCGGATGGAAAAATCGTCAGTTTCATCCAAAATCGAGTTTGGATGCGCGCGAGAACAATCGAAGGGGTTTTGTTCGAATTCGAAAGTAGTTTTTTTACTTTCGTAGTCGATCTTCGAATTCTTTTTCGATTTTTAATAAAATTCTGTACGAATTTTTTTATGCAACACGAATGAAAGGGATGTGAAATTCAGGTCTTCTGAAACCAGTTCATCAAGAATGTTAACTTTGTAGGTATGTCTATAACCAAAGAAATCTAATAATTTTATATATTTATTTATCACTTTATCAAAATTATAAAAGTCGCGTAACAAATTCTTGAATTATACTTGATCACAAAGATATTTCGTCTCATTCAATTTCACAAAGAAAGAAATCTCACCCCATATTTTTAATTCATATTTATCACGAAGGAGTTTCATCTTATTCAATTTCGCAAAGATCAAAGATCAAAAAGCGCAAAATCCTTGAATCATATTTATCACAAGGATTCTTCGCTATATTCAATTTCACAACTGATCAAAGAAAGGTGAAAGAAAAAAGAAAGTCATAAATTATCCGCCATATTCTCGATCCACGTTTATCACAAAGTTGGTTTATCTTATTCAATTTCACAACAAAGATCAAAAAAGTATAAAATCCTTGAATCGTATTTATTACAAAGATTCTTCGCCATATTCAATTTCACAACTGATCAAAGAAAGGTAAAAAAAAAAAGTCATAAATTATCCACCATATTCAATTTCAATTAACTGATTAAAGAAAGGTGAAAAAAAAAGTCATAAATTATCCACCATATTCAATTTCAATTAACAGATCAAAAAAAGGTGAAAGAAAAAAGAAAGTCACAAATTATCTGCCATATTCTCAATCCACGTTTATCACAAAAGCGGTTCACCTTATTCAATTTCGCAACAAAAATCGCAAAAAAACGAAAAATCCTTGAATCATATTTATCATAAAAATTCTTCGCCATATTCAATTTCACAATTGATCAAAGAAAGATGAAAAAAAAAAGTCATAAATTATCCACCATATTCAATTTCACAACTGATTAAAGAAAGAAAAAAGAAAGTCATAAATTATCCGCCATATTCTCGATCCATGTTTATCACAAAGGTAGTTCATCTTTCATAATACATTTCATAACAAGAATGAAAAAAATGCGCACAAAATCCTTGAATCGAATTTACCAACAAATATTCTTCGCCATATTTAATTTCGCAACAAAGATGAAAAAAGCACGCGTAAAATTCTTGAATCATATTCTCGATCCACGTTTATCACAAAGGTGATTCATCTTATTCAATTTCACAATAAAGATGAAAAAAGCGCGCGCAAAATCCTCGAATCGAATTTGCCAACAAAAATTCTTCGCCATATTTAATTTCGCAACAAAAATAAAAAAAAAGCAGCAAAATTCTCGAATCGAATTTACCAACAAATATTCTTCGCCATATTCAATTTCGCAACAAAAATAAAAAAAATGCCGCAAAATTCTCGAATCGAATTTGCCAACAAATTTTCTTCGCCATATTTAATTTCGCAACAAAGATGAAAAAAGCGCGCGCAAAATCCTCGAATCGTACAAATATTTTTCGCCATATTCAATTTCGCAACAAAGATAAAAAAAAGCGCGCGAAAAATCCTCGAATCATATTTGCCAACAAAAATTCTTCGCCATATTCAATTTCGCAACAAAAATAAAAAAAATGCCGCAAAATTCTCGAATCGAATTTGCCAACAAATATTCTTCGCCATATTCAATTTCGCAACAAAAATAAAAAAAAGCGCGCGAAAAATCCTCAAATCATATTTGCCAACAAAAATTTTTCGCCATATTCAATTTCGCAACAAAAATAAAAAAAATGCCGCAAAATTCTCGAATCGAATTTACCAACAAATATTTTTCGCCATATTTAATTTCGCAACAAAAATAAAAAAAAGCGCGCGAAAAATCCTCGAATCGAATTTACCAACAAATATTCTTCGCCATATTCAATTTCACAATTGATCAAAGAAAGGTAAAAGAAAGAAAGAAAAAAAAAAAAAAAGAAAAGCAATAGATTATTCCGCCATATTCTCGATCCATATTTATCACAAAAGCGCTTCACTTTATCCGAGCGGTTCGCCGAGGAGGAAGAGGAGGAGGAGGCGAGGAAGAAAATGGAAGAAACTCGCAACAACCCGACCAATTACAGGGACGTCCCTTGGAAAGAAAACGGCATGACGTAGAACCGGGAGCGAGGCGCAATAAATCGCGATACAGACGATTTAAATGGACGATCGTTCACCGTTACGGGCCGGGAGAACTGGCTCGGGGGAAACGCGATCGTAACTCGGAATTAGGATGCCACCTTTTCTGCTTTCTCGCGTTTAAAGTATCGTCCCGGAAATCCTCCGTGTTTGCAGGCTCGTCCCTGCGCGTATGCAACAAACGGCCGCCATATTTATAGCAATTTCTCGCGATAACTGGCGGCCACGTGACGCGCGAACGGGCTAACAAATGAAAATAATAACTCGGCCAACTTAACTTACGGCCGCCGATATTTCATTATCGTTTGTCGCGATTTTCTATTCCCTCCCTGATTCGAATCACGTATATCGCCATTTTAGGCGATCGAGTGAATTTATCGGCCGTCACCTTTGCTCTGAAATGGAATCGCTTAAGGAAGCGATTCTAATGAGCTCTGGTGTTGGGAAACGATGCTTTTGTCTCCTATTCCTAACTTTGTTCAATTTAGGAATAGCTCTCTTTCTTCGAAACAAAATTTTCGTATCGTTCGATCGATCGATGTCTAGATTGAACCTTATATAGGGGAAATATAGGAGAAATATTACTAGGCGAAAAATGTTTTCTCGGAGAGTTCGTTCGAAATTGTTTCCTCGACACGAGAATGATATATGAAATAAGTTGTTGTTAGGAAACTTTTTATTAAGTCTCGCATCGTGTAAATCTTTTTATGATTATATATTTATTAAATCAAAGCAACGAGTATTTGAGTGAGAATCACTCGCACGACGTAACATAAAGCATAGCATGTTTAACATTAATTTTATTTTATTTTACTTAATCAACCCAAATCAAACGAAAATGACGAATATTTGAATATTTGCATTGGAAACGCAGTTACGATATAATATGCGTATTCCAACGATAACTTTAACGAACAATACTCTTTTCTATACTTTCGTACTTTATCGATCCAAATCAAACGAAAACTTTTTTATCGGTAACGAACGATGCCCTTTTCTATACAATTACCTTTTATTTTTCCTCTCGTCTTCTTTCTCATTTCCCGCATCACACGAATCTCTTTTATACACACAGTGCTTACTTTATCGATCCAAATCGAAACAAAACGACGGACATTTGACAACATTGGAATCGTGCACTTTTTTCAATATAATTATCTTTTATTCTTCCTTTCATACTTTATCGATCCTATCGTGTACTTTCTTCCATATAATTACTTTTTATTTTTTCTTTCGTATTTTATCGATCCAAATCGAACGAAAACGACGAATTATTCGACAATATTGGAATCGTGTATCTTTTTCCATATAATTACCTTTTATTCTTCCTTTCGTATTTTATCGATCCAAATCGAATGAAAATGACGAATATTCGATAATATTGGAATCGTATACCTTTTTCCATATAATTACCTTTTATTTCTTTTTTTTCGTATTTTATCGATTCAAATCGAACGAAAACGACGAATTATTCGACAATATTGGAATCGTCTTTTTCCATATAATTACCTTTTATTATCAAGTCGATGGAAAACGACGAATTATTCGACAATAGCATTGGAATAGCGCGCAATAAAACACTCTTATTCCAACTTTGCCCATTCGCTTTCGATTCCTTTTCGCCCTTTTTTTATCATATAGAACGAAAGCGAACGAAAATACGAACGACAAAGATTGCGCTCCCGGCCGCTAGGTGCGCGCAGCACACATCGCATCCGCTCGTATCGGATTCGAACGGGAGCGGCGAATATAAAATAAAACTCTCGTATTTTCCGCTCGTGAGCGGGCCGCGGCGCCAAACACGCGATACGGTAACCAGCACACGGTGCACGGTCACCGTCCCATTAAACCTTGTTCCACGCCCGGTAATTTATGGGGTGCGAGAGAAGGAAACGTAACCACCATCTCGCATAATACCAGACGCCTCCCCACGACCCCCCCCTCATTTGCATAGAGCTGGGCCAGTGGACGACGACCACGACGAAGAAGAGGACGAAGAGATCAAACGCTCGAGATTTCGACGCCGCTGCTCGCGCGAAAAATCCTCTCCTCTCCGCTCTGAAATTCGTTCAAGACGAGACTCTTCCTCTTTGAAAGAATGGGGCGATCGTTCTCGTCTCGAATCAACGAGAGAGAGAGAGAGAGAGAGAGAGAGAGAGAGAGAGAGA